CTGAAATCGAGAAGAGAACCTTAGAAGGTTGGCAGCTGGATACGTCCTTGACAGAGAGGTTTTATACAAGAAAAGCCATAACCAAGTTCTGTTAAGGTGCGTCGAGCTGAGGAGGCAAAATGATAGTGGAAGAAGTACATGATGGAGTTTGTGGAGCACATGCAAATGAGCAATGATGTCAAGACAAATAATGAGATGCGGATATTTTGGTCCACACTGGAAAGCGATTGCATTAACTATGCTAGGAGATGTCATAAATGTCAGATTATGGAGACAAGATAATGTTCCACCATCCCTTCATAATGACGTCACCATGGCCTTTCTCTATGTGGGGCATGGACGTTTATCGGGCAAATCCATCCGAAGGCTTCGAATGGTCACCGTTTCATTCTCGTAGCAATTGACTATTTCACGAAATGGGTAGAGGCTGCGTCATACGCCAGTGTCACTCAATCCACTATTTACAAGTTTCTGAATATGGTCTACCTGAAAGGATTATCACCGATAACGCAACCAACTTGAACAACAAGATGATGAGTGCTGCTTGCGAATAGTTCAACATAAAATATCACAATTCCACTACTTACAGACCAAAGATGAACGGAGCAGTAGAAGCAGCAAACAAAAATATTAAGAAGATAGTGGAGAAAACGACTGAAACTTACAAAGACTGGCATGAGAAGTTGCTTTTTGCTTTGTTTGCTTATCGAACCTCGGTACGAACTTCGACTGGGGCAACTCCATTTTCACTAGCCTATGGAATGGAGGCGGTGCTACCCATTGAAGTCGAGATTCCGTCTCTCAGGGTCTTGTCAGAAGTCAAACTGGATGATGCAGAGTGGGCACAATCCAGATATGATCAGCTTAATCTGATAGATGAAAAAAGACTGAAAGCCATTCATCATGGTCAAATCTATCAGAAACGAATGATCCAAGCACATGACAAAAAGGTGCGCCCAAGAATATTCCACGAGGGAGATCTGGTGCTAAAAAGAATTTGGCCAGTCCAGAAAGATTTCCGAGGAAAATGGACGCCAATTTGGGAAGGACCTTATGTCGTGAAAAAGGCTTTCTCCGGAATACTTCGCTTAGGATGAAAACCCGAGAGTGCGTCCTAAGTTGGAAAAAAAATGTTTAGGGTGAAAACCCGAAAGGGCGCCCTAAATTGAGAAAAGAAAAAGAAAAAGATGAAAAAGAGAATAAAAGAAGAGAAAATAAGGTGGGTTCAAGATGAAAACCCGAAAAGGGCGTCTTGCAACCAAGGATGAGTCCAAGTTGAAAACCCGGAAAGGGCGATTTGGGTATTAACAGTGGAAACATCCCGGCACATAAATCTTCTACGAACTCAACAAATCGGAGAAATGTTGCACTCTCCCAAACGTTATCGCATTTTCAAAAATCCTTTGGCAAAGGCTGCATTCAAGGTCACCAAATGACTTTTCAGCTCAGAAGTGCCCACATTATCGATATCTAAGACGTTCATTTACACATCATCGTGTATTCGTTTTCGAGAATGTTTGCCATGTATTATTTGTCATTCTCCTCCCTTATGAATAAAGACCATCTTTCCTCTAATTCCTTTTGAGCATCTTGAATTAGATTTAAACCTAATGATTTATTTATTTTTTATGAAAGATAATCGCATATTACGGTACAAAGATTCATTGAAAAGTACAGGTACCCAAAAGCCGATCAAGGCTCATGCACATACTTGAGATAGTTGAGGAGTATCTCCCAAATTAAAAAAAAAAAATAGAATGTGCACATCAGATTTAAACATTTGAAGAATTCAAGATCAGAGATCGGAACCTCAAGCTTTCAAAATCAAGAGTCAACAACGACAGGCCACCGGAGATCAAGATTTCTCTCCAGAGCCCAGAATAACATATGTTGCCTATACATTTTAGGCATACCTATAAGCATGACATCCTTAACATCGCATATATGCATATCTTTGCAGGTTTTACCCAGAGTCAGTTTCAACTTCACAACAAAGGATATTGGACTCCAGACAACGCAAGTTCAACTTCACGACGAAGGGACCGCTGGTTGTCAACAAACATTTCTTAAATTCGGAGCCAATTTCAACTTCACAACGAAGGATATTGGACTCCAGACAACGCAAGTTCAACTTCACGACGAGGGACCGCTGGTTGTCAACAAACATTCTCAAATTCAGAGCCAGTTTCAACTTCACACGAAGGATATTGGACTCCAGACAACGCAAGTTCAACTTCACGACGAAGGGACCGCTGGTTGTCAACAAACATTTCTCAAATTCAGAGCCAATTTCAACTTCACAGTGAAGGATATTGGACTCCAGACAACGCAAGTTCAACTTCACGACAAAGGGACCGCTGGTTGTCAACAAACATTTCTCAAATTCAGAGCCAATTTCAACTTCACAGCGAAAGATATTGGCCTCGAAACAGCACAACTTACATTGGATTTCAACTTCACGACGAAGGATATCCAATTACAAGGCTCAACTTCACAAACAGATTGACCCAACTTCACGACGAAGGAGTCATCTGTAACACAACAACACCGAAGTCTTCAAGTCGAGTTTCAGCTTCACAACGAAGTATCTTTGGCTAGAAGACAATCCATGAGCTACCTCCAGTACTCTGAGTTCGATTTCAACTTCACGACGAAGGATTCAGGCTCATAATTTTCCAGTTTTAACTCAACCTCATGACGAGGGGGTCATCTCGTGATTCATATTGACAAACCAGTTCCCATATCTGATTTCAACTCTACGGCAGAGGATATTCGATGTGGCAGAAAAATGTGTCTTTTAATCTTTGCCCTATCCCCGTTACATGACTATGGGCAAAGAGGGGCAGCTGTAGACACACTTTTTTTGACCGAAAGAACATATATATATATATATATATTATATTACATATATATATTATATCAGTATTATTATTTTAAACTAATACATTTACTTTTTTTTGTGTAACAGGCCTTTACAACACATAGGCCTTACAATGGCCCATCTTCAGCAGCCCAGAAGGCCCAGTACAGGTGGCCCAAGCCCCAAATCGGGTAGGGTTTCCAGAAACTCAAACATCTGATGGCCCAGCTGCCAAGCGCCTTGACCGTTGGATCTAGATGTGATCCAACGATCCACAATAGGAGTCAGCTAGGGTTCCATTTTTTTTCATGAAGAGCGTCGTATCCCTTGCCTCACGAGTCCACACCGATTCTCACGCAGCAACCCCGACGAATGTGGAACCTCTCCAACAAACGTGCAAACAACAAACACAATATTAGTGTTCTACGCGAGATTAAACTCTAAAAAGAGCCAATAGTTTGGCTATAAAATCATGGTAATCAGAACATAGTAGAGGATTATTTTTTTTTACACACTATTTTACACAAATTTTCACAATTTCACACACGGATACACAAATATTACGAGAGGGTACACAAGAAAACACAGGAAAACTAGCAAATCTCTTGTAAATTTTGAAAGAAAATAAATAAAAGGTATCGCTTTTACCTTTGTTTTCGATTCGGTTCCTTGCACTGCTTGCATGCCGTTATTTTTGAGTTTTGAACCACCAAGAAAACCATTCGGCCGAGGACGAAAGGGAGACCCTTCGTTTTTTTTTCAAAATTTTTTTTAGATCTACGCTTTTTCTAATCGATTTTTGAAAAACAATCTTTGTTTTTAGAAAGGAATTTCAAAAAGCTTTCGAGATTTCAAAAAAAAATATAAAAACACGAGTTTTGCCGCCGATGAACGACGGCCGGCGCCGTTCAACGGCGACGGCGAGGCGGCGTAGGGTGGCGTTTTCTGGGTTCATGAAGAACCATGGCCCTGTTCTTCATTTCTGAAAAACAGGCGAGAGCGTTTAAGGATAAAGGGAAGGAGGCTTTTGTTTAAGAATGATGGTTTAGCAAATTTTTGCTTAATCCTTAAGACATATAGCTGACCCGTTTTAGACAGTGGCCCAACCCGCTCATCCTTCGGATCCACGTGTTTCCATCCAAGAGAGGGTAAATCACCCTTTCAGTCCTCCGGAGAAACAATTTACTTGTTTTCGGCCCCAAATCGATATCAAGCCTGAATTATTCACAAATTGACCTTTAAATTTTGCTTTCTTTTCAATTTGGTCCTTTTGTTTTTACCTTTTTCTAGTTTAATTTTGTTTGTTTATTTATTTATTTTAAATGCTTAGTTTATATGTTATTATATATGTATATACATTTTTTATTTAGTTTTCTTATTATTACTACTATTCTCACTATTATTATTTTTCGTATATATATATATGCTTTTACTCTTTTTTTTGCATATTTTATTTATTTAATTATCTATTTTCTTTTTATTTTTATTCTCTATTTTTTATCTTCCTTTTATTTGTTTTACTTATTTATTTGCATTATCATCTTATTTTTATTTAGTTGTTTGCTAGGTATATGTTAGTGCTATTATTTTTCTTCATTTTATTTATTTTATGTGTTCTATTCATTTTTATATTCACTTTATTTTTTATTACTTTCCTTATTTCATTTATATTACTTCCTTTATTATTTATTTATTTCTTCTCTTCTAACACATTTCTCGATTTTTTTTAAAGGATATTTTCAAATCAATCAAGGGTAAGTAATTAGGATCGAAATTTACCTTTTAATTTAAATTTACAACTTTCTTAATTAAAGACAACTGGAAATTACGTAGTACCGAAAGGGCAGTTCAAGGGTGCTAACCCTTCCTTGACTGTAACCGACTCCCGAATCCGACACATATCTGGCACGATGCAGATCAGGTAAGAAATTAGGTATCCGATCAACCCATTTATTTTTAAATAAATGATCGGTGGCGACTCCAATCCACATTTATCACGTCGAAGCCCAATCTCGGGGCCCAACCGAAAGACGGTTGCGACATTTATGTATTTGATTATTAAGTAATATTTGTTAGTTATTTTATTATAGAGCATATAAAAGTCACACAGAGAAGTTAAATGTGTCAAAAACATGATCAAATGTACCTAGTTTTTCATCTCTAAAACAAATGAATTTAGCAAGTGCAACAAGTTGCATGATTTGCAGCATATACAAAATCCTTGACAAAGCTGAAGTTCAAGGAGTTGGGATGGTTGGTTTCCATTGTGTAGCACTTCTAACATCACCCGTCAATGCTGCTATCGTAGTCGTTCTCCGAGCTCGATTCTCCTTGATTTATGATGTTCATTATAGCCTTTGTGGCTTGGCCGACAGCATGAGAAGTTTTTCTGGCAGCCCCGGCAACAACAGGCTGTAAAGAGATGACAGGCAAACTAGCCCGTTCTTGAATCATCGCTGGACAAAGATGTCGTAAAAGAGTTATAATAAGTAAATGGGATATAGAAGAAATCGGTATCAAGCCTTCGATTTTGGGGTTGCAGGATAAAGGGGGAGGGGCAGTTCAAGAGCAACTTTTGAACTTACACATTGTCTGCTGGTGAGCAAGTGAACCGATCTGCCGAATTCCAGCTTTAGCAGCCTGCATGACTTTAGCCGATTTGTTGACACCATCTGCAATCTCTTGGCTATGTGCCAAAGTAGCAAACTGAAGCATTATACACAATACCATGAAATCTATGTGAAAATGAAAAAGAAATGAGAACCATCTTCCTAGATGGGATATAAGCTTCTCAACATGATTAAGGTCGCTGTCGATTTAAAAGTTATGTCTGAATTCCAACAAAATCAGAATTCGATTGTCACCTTAAATCAGTTAGTTCGAGTGTAAGATCACTGATCTCCATGCCTGAAAGCCTGATCGCAGCCATGGTGCCGGGAAGCTCCTCTCGTGCTGTATCTGCTAGCTTGGAAAGAGAAACCGCAGCTCTTCCAAATGCCTGCAAAACAAGCAAAACATAAAGAAATAAACATATAAAATGAAGACTACACCAAATCATTATATAGAGAAAAATTTCTGTTCAATAGTATCACCGACAAAAGCATTCCTTTCTTTGATTAAGGCCGACATAAACTTTCATTTTGACCACATAATGCTACAGAACTAAAAGTTTAAGACGGACTATATTAGCAATACATCACAGTCTGGTTGAACAAGCTTGAATTGTCCTGTGATTCTTGACAGTTCGAATCACAAGGCACGGATACGCTGTAAGAAAACTTACAGCGAGAGTTGGAACAGCTGCAATGACCATACTTGTAAACCCCACAGATGCCTGCATGCACACAAGTGATTGCTAAACAGAATCTCAACATCAAACATGTTGCTTGGTACTTAGTAACATAGGTTCAAGACACAATATAATGAACATTTCAAAATGGAAAATTTCAACACCAAACACTTGAATTGTTCCTGATATGCATTCAACAAAATTTATTTAATTCGCAATCATTAGCCCTGAGAAAATGCACCTGATGAAAACCATCCAACAACTAAGAAAAGCCACCAAAAATATGCTAAGCAAGCTAGAAACACCACTACAAAGAAGATGCTAAACCCATAGCTACAATCAATCATATAAAGCAAACATTTTCTCAATAATTCTTAAATATCTTACCATAAGCAATTCAATTCCACATAAAACGCTAGCACTATTATAAATAACAGAAAATCGATGCAATAAAAAGCTCCAAAAAAGGAATTCCAGAAAGAAGAACTACCCAAAGCACACAATAACCTCAAAAACCATACCGTACAAGCAATAAAAGCCAACAGATAGAAGGCCTGATCACTTAATCTCATCTTTTGAGTTGAAATGAAAGTTGGGAGAATTGGGTTCCCAACTCCCACATTGTAATTTTCATTAGATTCTTCTCCAAGATTGATTTTTGATGTTTGGGGGAATCCATTGGCCTTGAAACTTGTTATCTTCAAAGTTGAATTGGTAGAACGATTGGACGAGCAAAGTGGAATGAAACAAGGAGAAGGTTTTGCAGAAACGGGTGATTTCAACAAGAAAAATTGGTTCTTCGACTTTGAAGGGAAAGAAATGAATGGGACTAAAGTGTATGTTTTGGGGTTTGCGTTTAAAACGAGACTGAGTTTCATTTGAGGGAAATCTGGGAGATGAGAGTTTGAGTCAAAGGAATTAATGATGCTTTTGGAAGTGAAAAAAATGAGGAAACAAAGGGTGTCTCTGTATCTGAAACAACGGTCTAGATGGTGGCCGGTGTGTTTTACTCGACGTTTTTTCTCGCTTGCCCATTGCTCAATGGTGTTCAATGGGCTGGTCTGAACTGGTTCGAGTAGTATTCTATTTTAAGTTCACCTTTGACGATTAGTCCAGACCCAATGGGCTGGAGAGTTGACTTATCAAAGCAAAGTTAAGAAAATTTAAGTTGATTTTTTTTGAATTAATTACTGGTATCCGATCTATTAACCGGATAATCTAGATCGGGTACTGCAGAGGCAAGGACGATCCTCCCAACCCAGTTTCCTTCATTCACAAACGTCAGGATTCAAACCTTTGACATTGACATAGTGCCTCATCCAATAGACCAACTGGTTGTTGGTTTTTAAGTTGATTTTTAATGTTTTAATGTTTTAATGATGGATATATCTTAAATTTACACAATATATGGAGTAATCGTAAAGCAAAACCAGACTGTTGCCATTTCCACAAAACTTCAAAACTGCATATGTATGCACATTGTGGCATATCACTAGTTGATGCTTGCCATGATCAAACTATAACCATCGTTTTTCAACAAAATCCGGAAGCAACACAGCTAAGAGAAAGTGGCATGTAAGTGAAGATAGGAAGATCATCATCATGATTCTTTTATGTTAGAAAAGGCTCGCAGCCAAGAAGTGTTGCAATATCGTACCCAAGTTGTTTCGAAGCATGTCGAATATCACATTTGTTCCAACATCCTTCTCCTGAAAGAAAGTTTGAAAGTAATGTTACATAATCACATGTCTTCGCACAATATGTATTACAATTCCTTTCAACTTCAAGAAGTGCTAACCATCAGTCCTGAAACGCTTCCTTTCAACTTCATGAAAGCCTCCTCCGAGGCTTCACCGTATGCTGCTTTGAAATCAAATCTGTCAGCATGTTGTACCTTTAGTCTTATTGATGAGTTTTCATAAGCACTATCCATTGTGTGGCAAACACCAACAACATTGTATATATTCCCACTTGATACTTTTCCGAACGGCCATCTCAAGCCACCTTTCACATCAGGGTCTATGACTGTTGAATCAATCAGATTTCGAATGCTTTGCATCTCATCTTCCTGAGAGTAAACGAAACAAGCAATCTTGGTGAAAAACCTCCAAGATTTAATAGGTCGACTCCGAATCCAGGGTCCATTGCTCGCAGATTTAATAGGAACGTACAGTTAAGGGCTTCAAGGTCTAATGCTGATAGGAATGGAAAGATCATATATTCGAACTATGCAATCTCCAGATGGTTTGCTGTTGATTTGGATGTTGGAAACAGTGACACTTTTGCTGCTCATTTGAAACCAGTTTCAGTTGAATCAATCAAGAGAAAAACAGGCGAAAACCTGTAATCTTGGTGAAAAATTATTTAGATAAAGGTTGGTGGTACATCATTTCCTAAAATGATGTGGAAAGTTATAGTGGAAATGTGTTCTTAAACTATATTTTTGGTCCCCAGTTATCGTAGATGAAGCAAAAGGAAGCCCGTGGGCATCTATTGCAGAAATGTTCTGCCAAACCTGTTATCTTCCTTTGAAAAGGCGAGGGCTGAAATAGAGTGCGGAGATTCGAAAGATGTAAAGCTGGAAATGGTTGCTAGGTTTGGCAAAATACCTTTTCAGGGGTAAGCTTTGATTACGCTACTGCTTCATCGGAAGCAGATGATACCTATCTTAGCAATGGTTAGTGCTTATGAAAACTCATCATAAGCCTAAAGGTAAGAGTCAAGGTGGACACCAATATTGTAGAACAGGGTTGCTTTGATCTCCTTCAAGGACAATGGCTACTTAAAACACTGAAAAAGTATTTTGCCAAACCTAGCCACCATTGACAGCTTTACATCTCCGCATTCTATTTCAGCCCTCACCTTTTCAAAGGAAGATAACAGGTCTAGCAGAACGTTTTCTGCAGTAGACAACCACGGGATCCTTTTGCTTCATCTACGATAATTGCGGACAAAAAATGTAATTTAAGATCACTTTTCCACAATATAAGAAATAGCTTTCCACATTCTCTTAGGAAATGATGTACCGCCAACCTTTATCTATATTATTTTTCACCAAGATTAGAGGTTTATCACCTGTTATTCTCTCGATTCATTAAACTGAAACTGGTTTCAGATGAGCAGCAAAAGTGTCACTGTTTCCATCATCCAAACCAACAACAAACCATCTGGATATTGCATAGTTCAAATATAAGATCTTTCCACCCCTATCAGCATTGGACCTTGAAGCCCTTAAATGTACATCACTATTAAATCTGGGAATAAGGCACTCTGGAGTCGGAGTCGATCTGTCCGAATCCTTCGACTGCCTCTTGTGTGGAGGGATGTAAGCCATGTATGATGCTTAATTCAAACACCTACAGGAAACAACAATTGTTAAAGGAGTTTCATGACAGTGATAAATATACTTAAAAAACCTTAAACAACATGGGAAACAATGCTAGGTTTTCAACAAACCACAAATAATACAACAAAATAAAATAACAGAAATCTTAACTAAGATATATAGATTATGTTAAAATGATAACATTAAACATGACTGATACGTTAGTGAGACACAAAACTATATTTTTTAACAGCAAAATATGAAATACTCGAAAAAGAAAACAAAGTAAAGCCTTCAAGTACCCATAAAATAACTCAAAGAAAAACAATCTTCAATCTTTCGTTTATTACCCATCAAAGAAACATAATTTTATAATTCAGAAAACTAACAAATAGGTTTTGCAAGAAATAAAGAGAGAAAATACCAGAGAATTCAATGGCTTGATTGGGATAACGCCAAATTAGGGAAAGAAAAAGAATGGATTTTGATTCTTGAAGATCAAAGAGAGATGATTTTGATTCTGGTTGTAACAGAACAGACCGACTGGTGTTTTTATAGTTGGAACTTACTTTCAACTACTTAATTGCAAGAAGTTCCATTGACAGTTTGACATAGGAAGAAGTTCTTCTTCTTCTTCTTCTTCTTCCAAAAGCCATAGACAGAATTATAATGTATGCATGGATCTTAAAGTGGACAGCTGCTTGAACACGATCCGTCGACGTGCATGGGATTCCTTGCATTAATTCTTTCTAACCAACGTAAAAGTGTGTCGAGCGAAAAATTATTAGAAATATAGCTGGTTCATCACGTCATCTACGATCTCAACCAATAAAATTAATTCATCTCATTTTTAAAGGTGAATTTTCACCTCTTTCTTACATGTAAATTAAGAGTGAGTAGTTATTTAGAAGTTATTTTGAGATGAATCCAGGACGGAACTAGAATGAAATTATGGGAGGGGTCAAGTTACCTATCTTTTGAACTAACAAGGTTCTGAAAGGTAATTAAACCACAAAAAATTGAGGATTGAGGTTTAATTTCACAAATTTCAATTTTATCATGTCTTAAAAAGTAATTAAACAAAAAAAGTTAGAGACAATACTTAATTTCATTTAACTTTAAAACTGATAACGTCTTAAAAAATAATTAAACTAGAATATTTTAGGAGGATCAAGACCTAATTTTAATGGTTTCAAAAATTTTAAGAACTTAAAATACAATTAAACCATAAAAGTTGGGGTAGACCATGTCCCCTTCCGTCCCCACGTGGTTCTGCTACTGAGATGGATTGATTTTTATTGGTCAGGATCACAGATGACGTGGTGAGCCAGGTCCATATAATAATTTCTTGTGTTGATAAATCTCTTACCATTAAAAGTTACAAAGTGATCTCCTGGCTATAGGGTGTTGTTTTGTTGAGTCCTCCGACTATTAAAAGTTTTAAAATACTATTAATTTGTTCCAAAGTCATCATTTTTCGTTAAAAAATTGGCGACTGTCTAAGATGGGCGTTAACTTATTGATTGAGATATGATAAAATCTGATCCCAAAATTGTTTAAGCGATATTTTATGGATCGAATCTCAGTTATCAGGTTTACGTCCAACTCAGACGGGCATAAGTTTTTTAAAGAAAAATGATGATTTTGGAACATATGAATAGTCGGGTGATCATTTTATAACTTTTAATAGTCGATGACTCAACAAAATAATATTTTATAGTCAGTGGACTATTTTATAATTTCTAATAGTTAGGAGACTCATTTCTAATAGTTAGGAGACTCAGTAACCTCAAAAACCATATCGTACATATAACAACCCGAAAAAAACGAGAAAAAATATATTTATATTGGTTTAATTTGGTGAAATTTGGGGACTAAATTAAAAGTTTTCAAAACTTGTAGGTCATTTTAGAAGTTGAAGGAAAATCAGGGACCAAGCCCTGAATTCCTCCAAGAAGTGTCGGTAGGTTTGGTTATAAACGTGTTTTCTGATTGAAATCAGAAAACAAAAAAGCATATTCCTTAAACTTTCTTCCTTCCGCACCCCTACTTTCAAGCCTGATTCCGACGCCGTCCGACCTCTGATCGTAAAATTGAAACCACCATCGTGTTCATCTTCGACCCGTGAACAAAACCCAATAAACCAATTATAGCGAAACGCTGCCAAACGCTGTGAATTTTGAGTCAAAGTCTCGACGTTTTTTTAGCACCACCGCCGAGAAAATCTTAAATTCATCTCCGATCGTTAATCCGTTTTCGACACCTCCCGCACCATCGTGTTCCTTGTATCGTTCCGAGTCCGACAGTGTCATCGTTATCTCCATACGCGACGGCGCGTGAGGGAGGTAAAGCGGTCAAAGTTTCGGCCGAGTTGAAATCGAGCTCTCCACTGTTCAAAAATTTGAACCGAGCTTGGTAAGTGTATTGAAATTGCTTAAAAAATTTTTAGGAATTTTTTTCAGGAATTTTTGGAGACCAGAGAAGGCCTCACGCGCCGCCCCTGCAAGTGGGGGGGTTGCGAAATGATGGTGGGCGTTGTTTGACCGGCTTGACCGGTCCGAACCGGTCCGACCCGACCGTTGACCTGACCCTACCGTTGACTCGGGTGTTATTTTCGTAAATATTGTTAAAAGGGTGTTAGTTTCGTAAATATTTTAAAAAGGGTGTTAGTTTCGTAAATATTTTTAAAAGGTGTTAGTTTCGTAAATATTTTTAAAAAGGGTGTTAGTTTCGTAAATATTTTTAAAAGGGTGTTAGTTTTGTAATTAATTTCTGTTAGGGTGATAATTGTGTAAAATAGTTGACCGTTGACCGTCGTTGATCTCCTTTGACCAAAACTTTGACCGGCATTGACCGACCATTAAAAGACCTTTGACTTTTTTCGAGTATACCTATTCTAACATTTTTCGACGTCCCGAATCTGTTTCTGAAGTCCGTTTCTCCAAATTCAAACCCGAAGGCCTCCAAATCGTCAGTCAAAGTAGTTGACTTTGACTAAAAATTTGAATTTTCGAAAAGTCATATTTTATGTTTTTTGACGTCCTAATTCCGATTTTGCAATCCGTTTGGTCAAATTCAGACTCGAAAGCCTCCAAATTGATAGTCAAACCCGAAAAATGCATATGTATTTAAGAGTTTTAGCTTTGAATGATTAAGTAAGACTTGAGACTGATAAATTATTATTGTTTGAAGGTACAAGAGACTCTCCTGATCGCTTGACAGCTCGACCCAACTCCTCTAGATTAGTTAAACCTCTTGTGCCAGTATTCACTCGTATGACCCGTAAATCTTATGATTTCGTAGATTAATTATATACCCACTAGTAATATAGTGTTATTATGAATTAGGTTCGAAAACTATAGTAGAGCGTGGCGAGGCCAATACTCACTAGATCTACTGTTTGAACCTATTATCGAGGTGTGTTCCCTATTTATTATTGAACTGTTTTATTTGTTTTAACATGTGGTACACTGAATTCTATTTCTACTATTTTATTGATGCACCGATTTATTGTGATGGTTTATGGATTATGACTTCTATCTAATTTTTGGTTTGAACTGGTATTTGATTACCATGTTTATGGATTTATGGAATTTATGTCACAGTGAAATTCTATTTTTAAGATACGAATTTATAAAGTACAACTCTGATCAAGCTGGAAAATTTTACAGACTTAATGAATGGTTGCTGTTTTATGCTTTATTCTGTTTTGTTTGTGAGACTTAATGCTTTAAGGATGTAGGAGCTACGAGAGTAGCCTTTCCTTAGAAGCTGCTTAGGGTTCGAGAGAATGCCTTGACAAAATATCTTTAGTCTTTGAGAGAAGCTAGGGAGGAACTATACAAACAAGGGGTTCTAGATAGTAACTAGGCCTAATCCACCTTAGAGATAAGGATAGGATTTCATTCAACTAAATGGAGTTATGTATAAACGATAGGTTAGATGTTAATGCTGCCGCAAAAAGGTATTGCCGAGACATATCCTATTAACTGAACCAATAGGGTCACTGGAAAGGTTTACGCCAATCGGTTATGCCAGGGCATATTTAATCTGTCGAGTCCCTTACTAGAGATAGCATAGGGCATTTCAGTAGACTCTGTCGGGAAGGGTAAGCTTAGAAGAAACACCATTCAGAGACATAGACTTAGATTTTCGTTGTGACTCATTCCACTCATTTCCATTGCTGCTTGTCTTGTGAGAAAGCTTAAGTCCTACATATATTAAATATAGTATTTGCATTTTATTTTGCCTTGACATTTTCATCTGTTTTCATACATCACAATTTATATTGCCACTACATATCCATATGCTACCACACCATCATTATTCCTTTACCACCACATCCATTCCATTTTGCCACTGCATTCTTATTTGTACATACCGTAACTAACTTTACTTATGTAGCAAAGTAAAGTGCCTTGACAAACCAATTTGATTTCCCCAATTCCCTGTGGAGACGATACTTGACTTATCACTTTATTACTTGTTCGATTGTGTATACTTGCACACATATCCGCATCATATTTTAGTACTCACAAAGAGAGGACAGCTCTGCGGCCCTGAGATCATTCTCGGGTAGGCCCTACGGCCCTAAGATGTGTTCTTAGGTAGGCCCCTTAGCCCCGAAATCTATTTTGGGTAGGCTCTCAGGCCCTAAGATGTTCACTTAAGGTAACACTTTTATAAGATTTACTGCATTATGATTTTATGAGATTTACTGAACTATGATTTGTTTAGTGTACCTATCATGATTTTATGGTAATGTTGGGACACACTGAGCCTAGCTCACTTTTCGAAAATGTTTTCCCTTTCAGATATTATTGGTTAGATACCCTGATCGAGCACTTGGAGGATCAATATATATCTTGAAGTATATCGGATTATAATGTTTTTATCTTTCAAGTTGACTCTATTTTGGTAACATAGGCCTTATTTTAAAGTATTTGATTTTATAATGATTACTCTTTTGCTATTTATATTCGATTTATCATAATTTGGATTTTTAAGACATGTTTAAAATTAATTGGTTACTTTTTAATTTTATATTTATGAGTTGGGTTCTTATAGTATAATTTATTATAATTCATAAATGT